ACAACAATGTTTTTAAATGATTCGTTTGGCTCGCCGGCTGGTCCAAATGCGATGAAGACGATCGTTGCGATTATCACTCCGATTAATATCAGAATCAGGTGTTTCGTGCGCATGGCCGCTAAAATTGACTTCGACTTTGCTTTGTAGCCAATTTTGCGAGCAAAAATGCGCTTTAGGGTGAGTGAGGCCTCCAGTCTGAAGCTTTTCTGGCTTTCCCTTTTAGCCAAGTGGCAAAGTTTGTTGAATCCTCTGTTGTTTGCATTAAAGCATGATTTACGCGCAAAATTTTATAATGCAACGCAATTCAGCTGTTGAGCATTAATTGATTTATTTTGTCTTTTTCATTACGGCTTTTGTGTTCCGTTGTCAGCATAATTTTGCAACCTGTAAATAAAAAATAAATGCAAGCAACGTAAAAATAGTTTGTTTCATTCGGGGAATTAAATTGATTTAAATGTATTCATATTTATTATCGGAACCGATTAGAAAAATACTAAAGCACTAAACAAACGGGTTCGACGTACTTGCTTGTATTTATCCAAAATGTGTTGTCAGAACAAAACAAGAAGGGAACCAATTTTCGGTAAATCAAAGTTTATTTACCCTTGCAGCTATTGCAAAAAAAAATGTTCTTTAAACATCTTAATTTCGAATTATATGCCTAAATGTTTTAAAAGATTGAAGATATAATGATTTTAGGCTCAATTATTCGATGGCTTCCATGTCAGCTATTAAAAAAATTAAAAGTAATAGTAATTACTATATAATAAATAATAACTACTACAATAAAAATTGAAGATCTTTTTTTTATAAAGTATATATTTCATGTAGCGTTGATCAACCAATTTAATGGTTATAAAACTTTTTTTTATAAATAAGTGAAACTTCACAAGGAAACATGACTGGAAATTGAGAACTCAATTATTGAATAAGTACACGCGTTCTCTGTTGTCCTCTTAACCAGAGGTCGCCGGTATGTATTCTCTTCAGCCCTCTTCTGGTCCTCGGGATGGCCAAGGAAGCCGCTAGGTGATTAGTTTGTAATAGGAATCCCTCGTTGTATCGGCTTGAATGTCTGTGGTCTCGCTACCGCACTGTGCAGCCTCCTCGTAAGATGCTTATACAGAATCAATCGCAAATACTGAGCATGAGATAATTACGGGATTAGAGTACCGTGGAATTGAACTCTTGAAAGGATTGCCTTCTCCTATTTAAATCCAGAAAGTTTTGCGTGTTTCCAGCCGCTTCGATTCGACAAGTCGAGTTAGCGAAAAAAGCTGTGTCATCGTCGCCAAGAGGGTTCCTGGTTCCCTGGGATGCGGCAGGTCAGGGGTAAAGAGGCTACAGGACCCAAATCGCTACCCTGTGGTACACTGGCTCGTATAAATCTAAAGGAATATCTCTCGTCTCTTACGTCGACCATGGAATTACGTTCCAAGATATGAATACAGAGGAGATATTGCCCAGTTAGCAAAAGGGACTTTATTTTAAACAGTATTCAACCTTTATGTCTAGAAAGATGACCAAGCTGAACTGCCGATTTTCGAAGGCGTCTAGGATATTCTGATTTTCTCGATTTTCCAGTTCTGGGGTGCCGTGCTGGTTCCTGAAATTAAACTGGTGATCTGAAATGACTTCCTGGACGCTTCTTATTGCCATCATTCTCCTAAGAAATTTTCTCTCGAAAAACTTATAGGTCGGTATGATGCGACAAGGTTCTACCGTTTACTTGGTTTGGGTATCATCGAAATCACAGAATACTTCCATTGTGTAGGGAAATGGCTGACCCGAAACATGGAGTTGTTCGATTTTATTCAAATTAATTAATAATACTTAATTCTAGCATAATAAACCGATACTATACATCGAAGAGCCAGGGCTGTGAACCCATTTCAATTTGGCTTTGGTTCGGTTCGGGGCTCGAACTTAAGCAATTGATACGGATAGATCCTGATGCTAAAAACAAAGCAGATTTGTGCGATTTTCTTTTTATTTCTGAGTGAATATAAGTATTCAAGTTTTTTAAGCGGTAAATGCCTATACTTATAGAGTATCTAGGATTTTGTTTTGTTTGTTTATATTTATTATATATCCCGTGGCCGCGGTCGTTAGGAGTCTCTTCAAAAAAATGGCGTCTTGCAGTGGGACATTTAAAAAAAAATGTAATATTTTTATTGTTCACATGGGAGCTTTATGTTATAGTCGTCCGATTTTAATGAAATTTAAACCGTGATTCCGAAATATTTAACAATTGGTATATGTCAAAGAACTAAAATAAAAAAATTAAAAAACTGCAGTTATAATTTTTTTTCTTTTATTTTTCCGATTGCTCCTATGGGAGCTATACGCTGTAGTCGTCCGTTCCGACTTATATAACTACATGCAATAGAAAGACAAACTAAGTTTTAAAACTGAGAGTCTAGTTTGTGTAGAAACGGACGGACAGACAGACGGACATGGATAGATCGACTCTGCTAGTGATGCTGATCAAAACTATATACACTTTATAGGGTCGGAAACGTCTCCTTCACTGCGTTCCAAGCTTCTGACGGTTTTCGGTTATCTACGAAAACGAAGTGGTGGAATTTGAAACACGAAAGCATTTTTATTTTTAAATATTTTCGTATATATGAGGCCAATCTGAAAAAATTAAACAGCAAGCATGTAAAGAAAAGACTAAAAATTCGTCTAAAAACTATTAAACAAAATTTACTTCTTACAAGTATAGGAAAAATGCATTTAAAAAATTGCTCCAAAACATATTTTGAAATACCTCATCTTAAACAATTAGTGCGCATATACGGGTTGTGCCACAAAGATAGACCCCTATTTCCAAATTCTTGACCACAAAAGTTTTATAAAAAACACCCTATGTTTTTTAGAAAATCGCTTAACAGTGGCCAACAGACAGGTCCACTCCACATAAAAAAGGGAGCAAAACTTAAATTTCAAATTGCAGAATTTTAAGAACATGTGCTGACTAAAGTGTGGTACGAGTTTCATGAAAAAAAAAATATTGATACACGAGCAGCAAATTTGATTCTTTCACGAATAATTTATGAATAATTAGTTTTAGTTTTGTTTACTGCTAACTTCATTTTTTTAAAGGTTATCCATAAATTCTTCGTGAAAGATTACAAGTTTCCGCTTTTCATATTAATTGTTAGCCGGCTCGAGGTCAGGACGTTGAAAAAAAAAACACAAAATTATTTCAATTTTGGTAATTCGTCTTTTAACACAAACACAGGGATTGTTGAAAAAAAAGCATATTAAAACAAGAGCGGAAAATGTATTCTTTCACGAATAATTTACGGATAATTAACGCCAAATTCCTGCAAAAAAAATTTCAAAAAAGTTTTTTATTTGTGTACTGCTAACTTGATATCATTGGATAACTTAAAAAAAAATTGAGCGTCAAATTTATTTTATTCAACGAATAATTTACGGATAATTAATGGTAAAAAAAAAAGTTTAGGTTTTGAAAGTTGTACGGCTATGTACATGCTGCTTTGGATGGTGCTAGGTAGAAATATGCTGTCATGCTGATCATGAATGAATATGTTTTTAATAGAGGCGTAAATTTCACCTTTACTACGTTGCTTATTTTTTACTTAAATAAAATTTCCCACTGCGGTTTATACTCCCGTATAACAATAATAATATAAACCTTTAAATATTTTATATATTTCTAAATGGTTCACCACTGCATCCACCGCAGTTAATGACGAAATTTAATCCAAAAACAGATAGAAGATGCAGTACGCCAGGTCACTGATAATTAATTGAAACTGCATCTTTTAACACCCTCAGAATGAGCGCCGTATGGTCACCTTGATGGGGTTAATTTCGTGGCGCAGGGCCAAAAAGCGAGTTCAAGGTGAGGGCAATATAGCGATTTTCATATATACATACGTACATATGTACAATGTACATTGTGCATACTTATGTTACAGCAACAATGTGACAATTATGTGCAGTGTGACTCGACTTACACTTGTTTATACGGCGCTTAGCAAAGAGCTGCAACTATTTACAGTTAGTCTTGTTGTTTGCCGCGTTCAGTTGGTGTTGCTGATGACGAAGGGGGGCAGATGAAGACGGGCGAGATATTACCGGCGCAGCCTCCATTAAACTCTTTTGATAAGCTCACTCCCTCGCACACAAACACACCCCCACAAACGACTTGTTGTTGGCCCAAAACTTTTACATAATTTACAGGTTCTGTGGCTTGCGAATTTTACTTTCGGTTTCGCATTCACAGCGCCAAATATCAGCGAATCACGACAAGCGGGGCTGCGTACAAACAAAACACTTGAACTAGCTGCTTTAATAGGCTTCTCAAGCGTTTGTTGTTGTAAATTATCTGCTTAATGCATTTGCACCTGCTGCGAAAATGAGACTTCAATCCCAGCGGCGGCTCAGTGCACACACCAAATACACGGAAAGTTATATACTGCACTAGAATTGGTAACACCGTGCGCGTTCTCGGTGCTTAAAGTTTTTTTATGCAAATTCGTGGGTGTTAGTGATGGGGAATGGTGCTGTCGAAACATCGATCAGCCAATAGGTTAATCGATATTTTAAGGGCTTTTAAGTTGTCGCGTTAGTACCAACTCTCCAAAACTCAAAATTTGGTTTTAAAACACCCTCTTAAGGTTTGCTCAACAGGGACGCACTTGCATTAACGGCCAATTTCCCATGAACGCCTTTTACTCAGTAATGTGCTAAGAAGAGATGCGGTGTTAAAAAAATACTGCTGGTACTCAGCATATTTGACGTATTTATTCTTTTTTAACTGTTTAACTATAGAACAATGAACCAATATGATTGAATATTCTATTAAAAAAACCTATATACAATCCCGCAAATGGATACTAGAATCCGAAATAGAGTTCTAAATTTTTTTTAAAATTAGTATTTTTCCTGATGTACGTTTTGCTATCAAAATTATGTCCATTTTGGTAAGCATCCCTGGTATTTTGATTACGTTACGTTTTTCACTTTCGTTAGTCTGGCAACTCTGCGTTCCCGCACCATTCGCCTGCAAATAAATCGGAAATATGCAGTGTTAAAATAGCGAAAAACTAGTTGGCAAACCGACTCGATAAGTGCGGAAACTAAGAGTTAGCAGTACAAAATTAAATGGTAACCAAACGCAAGTGGCCGGGACTAATTGACTGGAGAGAGTAGACAGTGAAAGCCAGAACACTTTCTGGCTGCAAGGGTGTGTGTGTGTGTGTGTGCGTTTGTCTGTGTTGACAAAATACAACAAATCGCAGCGAAAACAGGAAGTGTGTGAACGATAAAACATAAAAAGATTGTACATTCCGCATTAAAATAGTCGACTTAAAATCTGAGGCGGCAATGGGGTGTAGCCCACTCACGTTAACCGCAGATCTGGGGGCGTTTTTTTTTTGTAGTGGTGACATGTTTTGCTCCCTTTACGGTTGATGCGATGCTGCGTTGAATTCACCAAATATTTAGTGAAACATCACGTCATTTGTGCTACTCTCCTCCAAAACCAAAATGATCATCTCTTGGTGGAATTGACTGGACTGCATTTAAATATTGTGATGTTTCTGTGCGTCATGCGCTCATTAGTTACATACATATGTATGTACATACATAGTAAAGCCTGTTGTTGTGAATCGCTTTCATATGTTAACACTTTTTTTTTTTTTTTTTATCAAAGTTTCGCGCTATCTTCGAGCCAGCTCAGAAGCAGCCGCTCCCTAACTGAGAGAGCGGAAAACCCAGCTCTGGCCACTTGCTCCTCCAGATCCTCCTTCTGCTCTGCTCCTCCTAATCCTTCCCCGTCAGTTCCGGCCTCCACATGACAGACGGCGAACAGCAGGAGGCGCTGGTCAAACGGGCCGAGGACGAGCGCGAGGACATCTTCCGCCGCTACGAGCTGGGCCTGGATCCCAGCAACGTGGTAGACTCCTGGGAGAATCCCACCTTTGAGATCTATCACAGGACTGACAAGTGAGAGGGCTAAAAACCAACGTACACCAGCCAGGGTCAAACCAACTAATGTCTTAATGTTCCGCAGATATGGCTTCATGCACGACTCCCGCCTGCCGACGACGCGGGATGCACAGGAGGTGCATCGCACCAAGATCGAGCTGGAGCGGGACAAGAAGTGGATGAAGATGCTCAACCAGTGGCCACCGCCCCAGGACAAGCTGCATAAGCGTGTATACAAAGGCATACCGGATCGTGTGCGCATGGTGGCCTGGAATAAGCTGCTGAATGTCCAACATTCGATCGACAGCAATGCTGGCGTTTATCCACGCATGCTGCAACTGGCCAGGAAATATTCCACGGAGACGCGTCAGATCGATGCGGATGTGAATCGTCAGTTTCGCGACAATCTTGCCTTCCGAGAGCGCTACAGCGTGAAGCAGTGCTCGCTGTTCAACGTCCTTAACGCCTACAGTATCTACAACTCGGAGCTGGGCTACTGCCAAGGCATGGCCTGTGTGGCCGGCGTGTTGCTGCTCTACTTAAACGAGGAGGAGGCCTTCTGGGCACTGAACAGCCTGATCACAGACCAAAAATACGGCATGCACGGCCTGTTTATTGAGGGATTCCCCAAGCTGACGCGATTCATTGACCACCACGATCGGATAATGTCGAAGATAATGCGCAAACTACACAAGCACTTTACCAAACACAACGTTGACGCTCTGTTATACGCCATTAAGTGGTTCTTTGTCGTCTTTGTGGAGCGGGTGAGTAAATACGCGGGATAATTACAAACCAAATACTTAAAACAAATATCTTTTTGCAGGTCCCTTTCAGTTTGAGTCTGCGTGTATGGGACATTTTTATGTTAGATGGAGATCGTGTTATTTTATCTATGGCCATCACCATTTTGTATCTTCACAAAGACGAGTTGCTGCGCCTAAAGGACATGGACGCCATTATAGAGTATTTGCAAGTAAAGCTGCACAAGAATTTCGGCTACAGTGACGACGACGCTATTCAGGCACTGGAACGAGTGATGAAGAAGCTCAAGGACCTCAAGCTGGACGTGCCGCCGCCAGCCAAGTCGAACGAGTTCCCCACCCGCAAACTCGGTGTATTTGTGGAGGCGGACATGGAGAAGAAGATCGGGCGCAGACGCAACGATTACACAGACGCGGAGAAGCAAGTCATAACAGATGTGATATCAAGGTGGGATCGAGAAAAATGTTATTGACAAATTAATGTGGATTATGTTTATTGGCTTGCAGGCAAGAACAAAACGCGATTGAGGTTCAATCCACAGTGTCCTACGAAACGTCGGAGTGCGCCACGGGTGAGTCTTGACTAACACACATGTCCTTACACTGATTATCTATTAATACTAATGCTTGCTTTAAACATCTTACTTATTCCCGACTGCAAATATAATCTGCAACTTTATCGTAAATTCCTTTATTATTTTGTATTGTGTGGTGCAAGTTTATCACAAATTGTGTGTATATTGACGTAAATGTAAATAGAAACACGACCAGTTCCCCAAAACAAACTCGAACTCGTGTTGCCCTATATGTAATCATATGTACAAAGTCCTGTTTAGTTTTAGAACATTATATGGCATATTTGATTTCCTTGAGTAGCGATGTATAGTTTTTCATTTAAGTTTAATTTAAGATCGTAACCATTTTCAGCGGGTCGTCGTTGGCAATTTAACCTAAGTGCGTCATCATCTCGCTGGCCGAAGCATTTTACTAATTTGATAATATGCTGATATTGACCTTTTGCACGTTGGAAGGGGTGGAAAATGAGAACTCTTGTTTGTTTAATGTGATAGTTGAAGCAAGAGAGTTATTGGTTCTGGGTGGAATATCAAGTTTTATAAGTATTCCTTAGCTGTATCGGATCTAATGGGCACTAATTCTAGTTGTATGTGTAAAGTTATAGCTTTTAAGGGCCAATAACCAAGGCAACCCCAAAACAAAAGTTCATGCTTATTAAATACGCCCACTCGACGTTCATGTAATCGGATTATCCATTTTGTAACCATTCTCTAACATTGTCCGCTGCGTGTACATATATCCGTTTCGATCTCAAGCCACCGCTTCTGTGTCCTCCCGGCAATCGGAGCTTAAAAAAAAACCGAAATCAGACATGACCTAATTCGCAAACGCTTCTGTAATTCTGTTCCTAGGTGATGGATACTCAATGAAAACCTTTGAGAGTATCACTAGCTTAGCCACTTCGCCGGCGAATAGTAGCTATTCGCTATACAGCAACGGATTCGTGGTGACCACTATTGATAGTGCCCAAGACCCGGCCCGAAGCCAGAGTATCCATAATCTCAGCTACCTACAGTCGCATCCAGCTCTGCCCAACGGGTTGCAGCACATGCGGCACAGCTTCAGCAGCGATAGCGACAGTCGCAATCGCCTCGATCTGGATCAGGCTCTGGAGGTGCTCCAGCGACAGCAGCTGCCTCTGCACCCGAAGACTCCGAGCAGCCAGATGGTGTATAGCGTTCAGAATGGAGGCGGATGCAGGCACATGGACGGGCATCGGGATGCAGCGGATGACGACGATGATGATGCGCTGAGCGTGGAGAACACGCGCCTCTAATTTTAGTTGATTCGTATTTCGTAACGATTCCTTATGTAGTTAATGTTTTCCTATTTGGTTCGTAAACGCATATGCCAACGATTCCCCCAAAAACCTTGATCATTCTCTAGTAATATCCACACGTACTTAGCTTTAATTTTTGTGTTGTTGAACCGACAGGAAAATTGGATTGTTATTGATTTGCTAGCATCATTGATGTCTGACTTTCATGTTTTTTACACATTTTTTCTTGTCCTCTCACTCTCCGATATTTGCCTAACCGAGAGTCTCAATTTAATATTCCAAAAACTGATTACTCCTAAGAATCCAACTATTCCGATTAAAACTACGTACAACGATTAATATTTATTGTTATCCGCTTTACTACTTTACCACACTTCTTTATACTTTCTGTTCCACTAAATACGTACTTTAAGCTTTACTCTTGCATTTACTTTATTTTCGCTTTACGAAAAACACTCAACTTTAGTTTATGTTAAAGCCAAATTAAAATGGTAGTTGTAATCTTATTAGCCAATAATTATATGATTATACATATAGAAACGTACCACACAAATAAATATGATTTTGTACTGAAATGAACACACTCGCCAGCATGGTTGATTCCACAGTCAGCATTATAAGTTATTGTAGTGTAAGAACTGTTTCAGGTTCAGAGCCCAGTATTAATCCGATGTATTCGATTCGATTTGCACCTCACAAACAACAAACAAAACAAACTAACACCGCTAACAAAAATTTCACATTGCCACAATCACAACAACAACCAAAAACTAAATGCAATTTTCCAAAAACTACCCTTTTTTAACGCATTGGCAACACGACGACCTGGGATTGGTCAAATTAAATCAAAAACATACGAAAAACTCGAAAACGTTTACCTATAAACGCAATTTATTAGTTACGCTTACTGTTCCCGAGGATTCCCACTCAATACGAAGTTCGCTTGCAGGTACTTCAGTTGCCTCGCACGGCTCGTCGGAGACAATGTCACTGGAGGACAATAAGTAAGTAGATGTGGACGTTAGTTATAGTTAGAATGAAAAACCTAAAAATGTAGTTCATTGGACTATTTATTGGACATAAAAAATGAAGCTGGTGGTAATCGGAGCAGCAACTGCAAGTGCAGTTGCATCCTGCAAGTTTTACAACCAGCTTAATAGCGTTGAGGAGAGATTCGACCTCTTAGTACTATAAACTAACCATGTTTAACCTGCTCCCCTTCCAGTATCCACCTGAGGACCGCCAACATGCTGCAGAACACTCCGCAGCGTGAGATGCTTCTTGGCACCTGACGTCAGCTGCCGCCTGCGTTTTCCACGGCGCAGGCAGCTGCAGATAATCGACACCCACTAACCACAGCCACCTCTACGGGATTAGGCGTAGCAGGAGCTTCGGGAGCTAGTCCCAATTCTTCGCCAAGAGCCACACCCACACCGCCGCCCGTGCCGCCGAGATCGCCTCTGGCGCTGGGATGACTAGCAAAGCAAAAGGCGGCGGCAAACCGGAGCTAGACAACCTAGTTCCTGGTGCTCGCCGTCGCCTGCCTTTGTTTAGCCTTAAGTATTCTAGACCTGCCACCGCTGAAACCACTCTTAGGAGCCGTAGCATTAGCCGGCATCAAGCTTCCAGGAGTCTAGAGTTACAGCCTTTGTAAATACGCTGCGGGAGAACAAACTGTGCTTGCAGAGAAACTTCGTGCACGACTTGGTAGTGAATACCTATGCTGGGATAGATGCGCCAAACTACACTTACAACAGTTTCGAGTTGAACAATTAATACAAGCAATCGAGAATTACATACGCAAAATGATAGTGGAACAAACAATATTTAAGCAAGAGCAAATCGTATCTAATACAACTACAAAGCGGTTAGAAATCTATTATATGCATATTGAATTCAACTCAAAAATATATATTATAAAAATTGTTGTAAATTGTACTTGTATATACGTACCGAAAAAAATACAAAGCAACGTTAAAAAGTTACGTCCATGAAATGCAAACGAATGTAAAGGCGAAAGGCAACCAAATATAAATTAAAATCGAATGATTACTCTAGATATATGTATAGTTATACCAGCATAGCAGAACAAACTGACAAGTGAATTAAGTATTTATAATTAATTTCATGATTAACCTTTACACGAACATGAATCACTAGCTTAAGTTTCTCAGCAAACGGAATTATGTTAAATTAAGTTTAAATTATGTTCAAAAACGTTTCAAAATAAAACTGTCAACTGAAGCTAAGCTAATCGCCCGACTTGGTGTCCAGTTTGCCGCCCTTTTCAATGATGGAGCCCAGATCCTTGAGGGAAACGTCCCCTGATCCTCGTTCCAGGGGTTGTGGTTGGTTGGGACCTGGTTTCCAACCCACAAAGTATATGATTTGGAAGGTGGCAGGTATGCCCTTCTCATCGGGCTTGGAATACAGCTCCTGGTAGATGGCACTTGCCGCCAGCATGGTCTCCCGACTCAGATGGGCCGGCCGATTAAAAGCCGCATTGTTCTCCGCCATTCCCTTGAGATCCCACATCAGTTCGAACATGCTGGGATAGCCGATTACCAGTTCGTCGGTGTCTATGGTCAGCATGGTGAAGCCGGCGCGATTTAGCAGCGATCCAATATCACGGATCTGGGTAAAAGGCGATATGTGCGGGGATATGCCACCTTTGCGTTCCAGCTCTGCTAGTTGAAGAGAAGAGCGCAGTTCGTAAAGAGTGTCTCCGCCAAACATACAGGCTATGAACACTCCATCCGGTTTCAGGCTACTCTTGATCCTGGCAAAGCAGCCGGGTAGATCATTTACCCAGTGCAGACTTAAGCTGGAAATGACCAGATCCAAGGAGTTTTCCTCAAACTAAAAGGGAATTTCTGTTTAAAAGTATGACTCGGAGTAATTAGCCTTTACCCACATCTAGTTCTTCCTCATCCTTGACTAGTTTCAACATTTTAAGGCCTGGAGTGCCCTGCGCCTGCTCCAGCATGGCGGAGCTGGTGTCCGTCAGCGTGAGGTGCTCCACGCTCTCCGCCAGAATGTGTTTGGACAGGTAGCCACGACTGCATCCTATGTCTGCCGCTGCCTTGAACTCTCGTTTGATGTCGAACACTCTGTCGGCCAGGCGGAAACCGACCTCCTCCTTAAGGTAATCGAACAGTCCCACATCTTTGCTGTTGAATGGGGCAAGTCTTATCAAAGGTATTTGAGCAACGGGCAAAAACTCACCTGAGGGCGGCCCTTTCCTTTTGCAATCGCTTCGCATTGCGGTCGAATATGTTTTGCGACGGTTGGGTGAGTGAGGAGAGAGGACGCAGCTCATACCTTACCTTTAAGGTGGTTAGTTTGGTCAATTTTCTTAGCATCATACCGCTTTGGATGCTGTAATAAGCCCGCCGGCTAAGACAGAAATTAAAATAATTCGGTAGGCGGTAAATTGTATACTCTACATTTGTATATTTCGGTTGTTGTGATACCGTTTTCTGTCGTTTTAAAAACACTTGTGTTACAGTTGTATCATTAAAATTTCAGTCAGCTGTTGGCCAGCTGATTCATGCATATTCAGCTTTCTTAAAACTAGAGTTGCCTTTATTTTGTATTGTAAAAGAAACTTGGAAACTCTTTAATAAACTAGTATTGTAGCGCATTTTGTTCTATGAAAAATAGGTACATAGGCTATTTTAAAGAAATTAACGTATTTTTGAAATCTTAACTGGAAAATATATCACTTATTCATCATGGACAATTTTTGGTCGTTCCCTAAAATGCTGATCATTTCTGTTCATATTTGTGTAGCGACTCTAAAACAAAGAAACAAAATGATAAGGGTATTTTAGGAATAATCAGTCCAAACAAGGATTGGTCTGAAATTTTAAAACTACATAGTTAACAAATTAATTTCAAACCTAGCTATACTTGCTAAAATTAAATCGAAGTCTCTCGACTCTCTCTCGGCTTAACCAGAATAAAATACCCTCTCAATGTTACATAATTGATGCAAAAGACACTTAACATTTTGTAAGGGTATTTAGACAACTGTTCCTCAACAGCTGTTCTTTCAGTTCAGTGTTGAAAACGAAGGAAACCAAAACAACAGTAGCGCGTAGTTGGTCAACACTACTCGGTAGAGGAGTGTTTTGGCGCCAAAAGAGGCGGAGATCAACGCCAAGAAGCAATTGTGTTTTAAAATTAACTTTATACTTGACCGACAGACATGAGCTTCTCGCGCAGTGACCTGCGCTATGCGCACACCAACGGCTACACGGGTCTCCTGTACACACCCCGCGGCGAGTTCATCATCACGTGCGGCACAGACGGAGACATTCGTCACTGGACTTGCATCAGTGACGATGACCCCCGGTCCAGTTGCCTGGGCGAGTTCGTCATGTGCATCGCCCACACGGGCTCCCGACTGCTGGCCTCCACGGATCGCAACACGGTGCACGCCTACACCTTTCCCGAGATGGACAGCGACGGCATACTCATGCGGTTCACGGCTCCGGCAACGTGCCTCAAGGTTGCCGGGGGCTACACGGCCGCCGGCAGCGAGGACACCACCATTAAGGTGGTCAAGGGAGAGGCAGCTGGCAACGAAACGGTTCTGGAGGGGCACACGGGACCGGTCTTGGCCCTGGATATGCACGCGGAGCGAAAACTCCTGGTTTCCTCGGCTGGAGACGGTCATCTGAAGGTCTGGAACTTTGAGGAGGGCAAGGAACTGAAGAGCATTGGTGGTCTGCCCAAAGTTAACAGTTTTGAGGCCGCCAGTCTCTATGGCACGCCCCATTTCGAACCGCTCAGGGGCGAATTTCTGGCCTACGCCGTGGACAACGAGATTGTGGTTCTAAACACGGCCAACTGGGAGGTGGCCTTCAAGCTGCGCGACGACTTGGTGTCAAGCAACTACAGTTGCTGCCAGTTCTCGCCCAATGGTGAACGCCTGGCAGCGGGGACAACCAAGGGCGAGGTAAGCATCTTCGATGTCAAGAAGCGTAAGGCCTTGCCAGTGGAGATGCCGCCCAATGACTGCAATGCCATAACGTGCCTGGCCTGGAATCGTTCTGGAGAGGAGGAGGTGGCCTTTTGCGATGCCACCGGCCAGCTGGGGACCGTATTCCTCAGCGATGCACCCGAGGCTGGTGGTGCGGAGCCACTGGAGGACCAACAGGCCGAGCTTTTGGGCGATGACTTTGAGTTTGAGGGTGACCAGGACTTGGAAGCCGCTGCCAATGACGGCGATGGTGTTAGCCTGGAGCAGCTGAAACGCAAGGTGATGAGCTTTGCTGATTCCGTAGATGTCGATGAGACCTCGAACCAATCCCTGGCCAGCAGCAGCAGAACTGCTCCAGCTCCGGCTGCTCCCCAAATCAAGCTTTTTAAGCAGCAAACGGCCTTCCAGCCCGGCGCCACGCCCAGTGATCTGGAGCACCGCTATATGGCTTGGAACGATGTGGGCATTGTTACCGCCCACGTAGAACCCTCTGGCGATGGGTCCATCGACGTGGAGTTCCACGACGCCAGCATCCACCATGCCCTGCATATCAGCAACTACAATCAACACAATTTGGCTAGCGTGAGTAGAGGAGCTTTGGCACTGGCCTCAAACGAGACCAGCAAGCTGGTGGTGATTGCTTTGGCCGCCGCCGGAAACAAGGAGTGGTCACTCAGCCTTCCGGACTGCGAAAGTGTGGACGCGCTTGTGGCCACTAGTCATTTGGTGGCCGTGGCGACAAGCTCGAGTTTTCTGCGCATATTCAGCGTTATGGGCACCCAGCGCGAAGTGCTAACCATTCCAGGACCTGTGGTGGCTCTCTCCGGACACGAACACAGCCTGATGGTGGTTTACCACAATTCAGCGCCCAGCCAGACGCAGCAGCATCTCTCCGCCATGCTGGTCAACACAAACGGCCTGAATTTGCGTCTGGAGTATGTGCCAGTGCCGTTGACTCCGGGAAGACAGCTTGTCTGGCTGGGCTACAGCGACGCAGGATCGCCGAGCATCGCCGACAACATGGGTCTCCTGCAGCTGTACCGCCGGAGCAGCAACGCCTGGTTCCCCATTTGCGATACCATGAAGCAGAGCACCAGTGTGTCGCACAACTACTTCGTGGTGGCTGTTTCCGAGCTCCGCCAGATAGTGCAGGCGGTGTTGTGCCGCGGCACTTCGTATCCCATGACCAACCCACGGCCCATGCTCCAGGAGCTCCGTATGCAGATCCCGCTGTGCGACATCGACGTGGAGAAGTCCGAGTTGGAGGATGCCCTGCTTCGTTCGAGTCTGATGCAGGTGGAGGGTGCAGAGAAGATGCAAAAGGAGACGGCCATCAAGCTGTTCGCCTTGGCCTGCAGCAGTGAGTGCGAGACGCGGGCTCGGGAGCTAATAGAATCGATTGCTTGCACCGATCTGCTCCAACTGGCGGTAAAATATGCCACCAAGCGCGGACGCATCCACCTGTCCGATCGCCTGTGCGAGTTGCTGCCGCAACTGGAGGCTGTCCAGGAGGCTCGCAAGCAACAGACTTTGTTGGGAGCCAGTGGCATTGCTGCGACCATTGTCCTTCCCATGACGCCCACATCTGCCTCGCAGAGTGGTCCTAAGCCCAAGACCATCGAGCTGAGCTCGGCCAAGCGGGGAACCTTAAAGAGATTAGCCAACTCACCAAATATTTTTAAATCAGCTTCGGCGGCATCTCGTCCCTCGACTCCGGATATTCCACCCTCTCCGCTGGATACCCAGGAGAATATATTCGGCGAGTCCGAGTCCGAGGTTCCCATGGGTAAAACCCCGGACTCCAGGACTCTTCTGAACTCAGTTAATCCGTTCGCCATGAAGCGCAAACTGGGCGACACTGGAGTTATTTTTGGATCCGAAAAGCTTAAATTGGCCAAGAAATAGTTATTTTTAGATAGATAGTTAGGTTTAAGTCCTATATCCTTAATAAATAAAAAAAAAAATTTAGTTTTTCAGTTCATTTGCAATCGCTCAAATGTTATTTTAGTAATAGCCTAGCACCATGGCACACACCCTTGCAGAAGGTATTATAATTGCAGACAGAAGCTTCAGCATCCCTTGGGAAGTCGATCTAGCCATGCCCGTCTGTCCGTCCGTTTCTTCGCAAACTAGTCTCTCAGTTTTAAAGCTAGCGGCATGAAACATTTCCAGAAGTTGTCTTTATATTGCAGGTAGTATATACATACATAAGTCGGAACATACAAACAATCGGAAAAATAAAATACTATCCCAAAACTGTATAAAAATAGTTAGCTCCCATAGAAACAATCGGAAAAATAAAATAGAGAGCCGAACATATACATAAGAGCAGAATTCAAAAAATATTTTAGCGATCGTTCCTGAAAATAAAACAACTCTTAATAAAAAATAATACAATTTTTTAATCAATGAAAATGTTGTCGTTATTTCTGTTAAGCTGAACAAGTGTACAGGAATATACATATTGCGTAAAATGGAAGAGGCCGTTATCCCCAGATTTTTGGTTTTGCTCAACATTTACAATGTTACTGGCTGATTCCAAGAAAGCCTTTGGTTTTTTAAAGAAATGGAGCTCCGCCTCCATTAACGAGTCGTCCAGTTCCATAGATATAAGTATATAAAATATTCTTACATCAAGGCTTCTTATCTAAAATTGTTAACACTGGCTAACGGGGTACTAAGCCCTGACAAAAACAGCGTTTTGCGCCTGTGTCAAGTGCCTCCAAAGATTAAGCGTCGGCTCCGCTCTTTTTTGCCTTAAACAATGTTTGGGACTCATGATCTTAAATAGTTCCATTTTTTCCATATCAAACCTGACCTGCCTGACTGGATGAGAAACTTAAATTGAGCTCCTCCGCAACCTTATGCCAAAAATCGACTTCAAGTTGCTTGACTTAACAGAAGGTCTATGGTTCCAGGTGGAATCGCATGCGTACACCCTTTCGAATTCAGATTCACCCGAGTTTGTGTGCTTCGGTCGTACTGTCAATCAGCTGGGCTTGTTGACAAACAAATTAATTTGAGAAGCAAAATCGAAGATGTTGAATATAAACAACGCCAGAGTTAAATTTGGTGTTGGAATGGCGGCAGATACGCAGCAAAAAGACTCTCATAGGCGGCGAACGGTTTTCATCGATCTGAGTAATAGACTTTACAAAGTTCCAATGAAACCGTCAATGAATGAGGCGAACAATTTATTGCAATAACCAACCCCATAAGTAATACATTTTTTGCAACACATATTCAAATTTCATACTTACGTATGTTTATGTATTTAGAACACGTATATGTAGATCACAATGGGTGAATTCAGCAAAACAATAATAATAATAATAAACACCATCAATGATCAGTGATCATGTTGTTATGCTGAATACGCATGGGGATTACCCCAATTGATATTTATATTTGGTATTTTTCAAGCGTGACCACACTCGCAGCTATTTAATATACCAAACCAGCGCTTCGTCACAAACGATCTCCGAATTCGGGACTTTCCACGAAATTCAAGTCAAAGTTATGTTTTCGTTGTTGTTTGATTTTATTAAAAGTGTTACACGCTCAAATTCCAATACTAATATACACACGCACACAACAACAATAAAAAAAAAAATATTGTAAGGGTTAGGTACTGCCCCTGGTACCAGAATCAAAAAACCAAAAAGTAATAAACAAAATTCGCAGTTATAAGTAAGTACATACATATGGCGGCAGAGAATGCGAATGCTTTACAGTTCCATCAATGGAAGGGAAGCTTGCGGAATCCACTGAAGCTTCAGTTCCAGTGAACTGACTCCATCTCCGTTATTTTGAAAGGCTTTTTCATGCACACACAAGCAAACACAAAAGGGCTTGAATGCTGCGGAGTTTTCCAAATTACCTTAAAGTCAACTCAATTATTAGCCTTAACTAAAAGTAGTTATTTAATTTATTCATATAAAATGTATTTTGGGGTATTACCCAAAGTAATTTCACCACCCGTACCGTACCTTTACAAACATATAAAAGACGCTGGCGCATCGTTCGCTTATTCGTTAGCTGAACGTCGCGCCGTGCACTTCGATCGTCAGCTGCACTGCTGTTCTATATAGTATAAACATTTATGTATGTACGTCTGTGTGTGTCTCTGCCTGAGCTTTGTGTTCGCGTTGAATAACAAAAAATAAATAACCAACTTTAAATTGCGATCGTACTATAGAAAATCAGTAACAATTCGCAACTCGCGATATCAATCCTACCCCACTGTGTGATAAAAAGTGCATAAAAAGACAACAAAATAAATAAAAAAAAAACAAACCAAAATGACGAAGAATAAAAATCAAAAAAAGAAGAATGCCGCTGTAAAAAATAAAAATGGGCCCGTTACTCCGATCGATTTGTTAACGCCGCCGGCAACACCGCCAACTAACAGCGGTATCAAAGCACCCGGCAACTACGCCAATGGAATGCCTCGGAAACCGCCGGTGCCATGGGGTAAGCTATATTATAGAACCTAAATGCAATTTCATCACATCCGACTGACTTACCCGGCGACAGAGCGCGAATTTATCGGAAGTTTTCTCCTGGAGATGGCCGTGCGCCAGGTGATCAGCGCCCAGACCGAGTGGTATGTGGACAAGAGTAAGATGCGCCAGATGTTCGAGGCCCACCTCGGAGCCCTGCCCAATTGCAGCGAGGTTCGGCTGAAGCTCTCCATCCAAGGCGCCTGGAATGTGAGTACCAAATACATATGATACCATATTATCATGCTTTTCATTTCCTTTGTCCAGATACTTATACAAAAAACACTGTTCATGTACATATTTATTTGTTTTAAAGTAAGAATTGTACTGCCTTTACACTCGAAACTGATTTATATTCTAGCAATGTTTATGTTTTGAATTGGTTCTGATACCCTTGCGAAGATTACTATTATTTCAGTCAAAAGTCACGCAGGACAAAAACAAATTATTAGGACTTGCGATCCAGCCATGTCCGGCTGTATGTCCTTCCGATAGTCTGTCTGTCTTTTCGTTTTCACGCAAACTTGTCTCACAGTTTTATAAGTTTTGGCTGAAACTTTGCCAAAAGTCTTCATTTTATTGCAAAAAGTATATACCAAATAGTTCCATAGGAAAAATCGTAAAAATGAATAATAAAAATTACGGTTACTAACTTACGGTTTTAGTTTTAATAAAATTTAAAATGCATATCCAAAGACCAATTACATTTTTATGTCATTTTTTTTATGTGTACATTGATCATGTAAAAAATCTTGCCAGTTGGACTACCGGTATCCTATAGATCGAAAAATCTAGAATGCTAGCACCCATACTGATTCGCTAACCCACCCGCGATAAGAGCTGTTTTTGCATCTTTTTCCTTTGTTTTGCGCCAGCGTCAAACATTTGCTTTGTATTATCAACACAACTCACAAACACTGACATACACGATCAACGATGTGTCTAAACAATTTGCTAGCTAGACGTCTAAAAACTCGCTCAAGTATATGAGTCATTCACTTACGTGTTGGCCCCACCATATTCATCTTTTGCTGGGAAAAATTTGGGGAAACCCTTTGAGTTTTATATAAATTGGATAATCGTTTTATTAAACAGAACACAAAAGTCCAAAGCTAAGAGGATGTCAATATTATAGTTACAGGAAATCTAAAAAAAATTGTTGCTGATAGTGGTATAGTGGCTTAAAACTTGTTTGGGGGAGTCCCAGATGGTAGCGTTTTAGATTTATCGGTCTATCTATACTGGTAATTAACTACTTGTTGTTAGGTTAAAAAATACATGTAATAGACAATATTGTTGTGTATCTAGATACTTGTACCTAGTTTCGTAACCAGGTTCAATTTGTTGGTATTTTTTAACTTAGCTAGGTAAAAAATAATAAAACTATCTTACCCTTACATGTCTAAAGATTATCATTTACCCAAAGAATAAAATATGTAAGGTTTTTAGATACTTTTATATTTGTATTTATTTTTGTTTTTAAATTAGCTTGATACTAGTAAATTAAATTTTTTTTATCTTTGCATATATGTTAAAAAAAATTATTTTACTGGAACTTTAAGATTCCACAGCGTATACAAGATATTATGATGTTCATTTTTTTTTTTTTAAAGTGACTAAAGCTGGCTTTTAAACCCCTGTTACTTCTGTAAAGCTTAAAAATTCTCAAAACCTGCACAAATGTATTTTTTTTTTGTAATTGTGAACCCAAAAAGTCAAAAAGTTACATGAAAATATGACTTTTTAGTGTTAGGAAACACATTAAATTAAATTGTTTGGTTTCGAAAAAGCTTAATTTAATTTTATTTAATTTAAAAAATATTGAATTCCTTTATTAGACACCTCGGAAAGACAACCGCAACGTTCCAAGAGAAATTCAAATTCTTTTAATTGAAGATATATGTAATTTTAGAGGCACTTTAGGATCGGAGAAAGGTGTAAAATCAAAGATTATAACGATGACGGCCTATTCAGGTCAACGGTATAACCCGAGGACTTTATTATAAAGCGGAAGTATATTAAGAGTGTTTTACAGCAAAAAAAAAGTAGGAAATTCCAGTTAGTTCTAGTAGCCCACACACTTACGTATTCTTAGCTACATCGCGGAACCTTTAGCTGATGTAACATAAGTTTGTTACTTGATCCTCACATAGTAAAGGTATTCGTTGAAAAGTATGTTACAGATAGAAGGAAGTTTTTCCGACCAAATCAATGCGTATGAACTTGGAGATTTCGGAAACTATAAAAGCCAAAGATTTAGGAGTTCTAGTTATGCCTACGCAGAGCAAGTTTATTTTAAAATACGTTGTCGCCCACAAATTCCTATTCCCTGCAATTCCTATTGGGCTTTCCATTTATTCCGTGTTGTGTCTATTTGAAAACACATTCTGGGAAATAACATACAGAACTAACGCTTCAATGAAGCAGCTATTTCGCCATATGGGTGAATGATAACATCATGTGATT